CAAGCAGAAAAAGGAGAGGGAGATGTACGAAGTCATGATGGGGCAAGCAAACACAGATGCTGCAGACTCTGGTGGACCTTCAGGTTAAACAATCAACCCCGGGCCTCCATTGCAGTCCACAGAGAACTCAGTTACAGCACTGCCCCACACCCGCCCCTCAACATTCCATATGGCATCAGGAGGACACCTCCCTTCCGCTACCACTCCACCCTGGGTGACAGTAAGGACAACCTCCACCCAGAAGGCAGCAACTTTTACTCCTTTGCATCACAGATGTTATACAGGACACAGCAACAAGCTACAACAATTTTTTCACTGAGATCCAATCTTGTGAGTAAATAATACCAGCATGCCTTCAATCTATCAAAAGCATATTCAACTGTCATTCTGCACCTGCTGAGCTGGTAGCTGAATCTTTCCTTGATGTCTCAGGGTAGTTGATGTATGACTTCCTGAGCCAGGCGAGCAATGGCTAAGCTGGGTTGCCCAGGATCATTACTGGCATTTCAACATCGCCATTGTTAAGCCACCACTAGGGAAAGAAAGTCCCTGCTTGTAGCTTTCTGAACAGTTCAGTGTTCTTAAAGATGTGAGCATCATGCACCTTCCCTGACCAGCCATTACAGTGATGTTGGTGAAGCATCCCCAGAGATCCAACAATGCTTGCAGAACCATAGAAAAAGTAGCTCAAAGATGTACTCAGTGGCAAGGTGGTCAGGTGGCAAAATAGGGATATGAGTGCCTATAGTCCAACTGCAGTTTGGGAACCCCATTGCAGGACATCCACTATGTCTATGCATTGCCAAGATTCAGAGTTCTCCGTATCAGAAGATGATTAATAGCCATGCACACTTGCATGACAACAGCCCCCACAGTGGATTTTTCAACTAGAATGTTCTGGCATAAATTACGTGTGCCTGTCATTACCCATGGTTTGACTAATGTTTACCTGAGCTGACCCAAGAGTGGTGCATCCTCACTTGGGAGATTTAAAACACACCCAAATTTTGCCACATTACCCGTAGCCATGTACCAGAATGTTAAACTGGTTTTAAAACTTGTTTGGTCAGCTCTTTCAAAAGTGGCTTATTTACAGTAACAGTTATTATATAATGCTGCAGACTCATTCTGAAAGCAAAATTATTAGTAAGCTGCACTTGATTACATGATAAGCTTTACATTGATTAAAGTACGTAAAAGCATATGGAAAACTCAGTTCTGTTAGAATAGATAAATGTGCCTACACAACCATTCTGGTTCGGTAACAAGAAAAACATGCACCTGTTAAAGTCTTATGTAATTTAGCTTGTTTGTCCCATGATAGTTCCTTGAGAATGATCTAGTCCACTCTGGAGTGTTCTCAAAGGATGACAAACCATTCTTGTGTTATTCAAATTATGGAGGCAATTTAGTGGTGTTAACAACAGTAGTCACATATGAGGTTCAAATGGCATGTGCCTTAGTAGAAAACCCAGGGGAATATTTAATCACTGAAATCTCAGTATTTTAAACATCCTGAGTCTCGATACTATCTCATATATGTTACTTAGCCTATAAATTATGTGGAGATAGGAACCTTATTTTCATACCTGTCTGTAAAACACCCATCACGCAGTTAGCACTATACAAACAATACACAATATTGGTCTTTTTTTTAATCTATTTTTGTGTTTCGAATGGAAACAAAATACAGAACTATGTTCTGTAGTGCCATGTTGTTTACTCAGGTGTGCTTTTTAATAGCGACTTCTTGAACCTGATCAGAGTAGTTAGAGATACGGTAAAGGTATTGTCTTGAATAAGCCTTTATGGGTAGTAATTTTTCACAGCTGATCACTTTATTAACAAATTTGCCGTAGAGTAAAAGTACAGGGTGAATGGAATTCTTACTGTGTGTTTTATTGTGAATAGCATAATAACACTACAATCATGGTTGGGGCATCTGCTAATAATACCGGGAGAGAGAGAAAGAAGAGGAAACAAATTAGAAGTTATTTGTAGCTGGCACATGACAAGCATCAATTTATACTGTTTGTAGAGTTAATAGAGACCAAGTTCTGCCCTTACTTAAACAAAGAGTAATACCATCTAAGTCTATTGGTTTAAAATCAGTGGAGTTATTCCATATTAATGCAGTGGTAAACCTGAACAGAATCTGACCCAGCAGCTTTATTTAAGCCTGAAAAGGAGTAGGTCAGATTCAGACATGGAGCTGCATGCAGCCTTTGTTACTAAAAACTTACAGTGTGCTTTTGCTATAAGAAAAAGAGGCAGTGACCTTAGATTTAATCACATCAGACTCTGTGTGCAGTAAATTAGTTAAAAGACTCTTTAGGATAGCTTTATCCAAGGATTCTCTTACTGAACTACATGGTTTCCAAAGCAACATGTAAAATGTCCTTTTGCTGCTGACTCCCACTGCTGACTAAGCACCTTTTAGTGGTCTAGAGAGACAGAGAGGGCTGAGGAAATCCTCATTCAGCCAAATCTGTCCCATATGCATGTGCAAACCTAATGAAAATCAGTTGTGAGGCCCTTTCATGTAACTGCACAGGAATGCATATGATTCACTGCAGACATAATGATTTGCAGAATCCTGTCTTCATGCTTTAATTTTTTAAAGTTTCAGCCTGCACGAAATTCATTTTCAGCTAATGAAGGCAAATGAAGGAATATTTAATTTTTCAGCTTGTACATGTTTCATTGTAACAGCCTTTGCTGGCCTTCTGTGGTATAGTATGCTTCATTATAGCTGTTATTTTAATTTTTCTCTCTCCCCTTATCTGCATAAAGATGCAGTGCATCTGTGACGAAGAATGTTTCTGCTGTGAGCTTTTGTGATGGTGCCTGGGTATATGCTAATCAGGGACATCCTTGTCACATTTGCTCAGCTTCCTAGTTGGAACTATGCTTATTTGTTTAGCTGTGGTCTCTGCTTTCAGATTCCTGCGGGTTCTGGGTAGTTTTTGAGTTCTGTCTGTGCAAACATTTTCATCAAAAACAATTGCTTCTGAATATGACTTTGTTTTCTGGTGTCTGGATTTTCCACAAACAAATGACTTGGAACTGAAGGAGGGTCTAAATTATAGAAACTAATTTTTAATGTACTTTTCTTCACTAGAAAATAATGTTTTAAAGAAGGGTTGCATCTTTGACTGCCTAAGGTCATCTCACTAAATCTCAGACCTACTTATTTCCTTCCCTCCTAAGCAACTAAGTACATATCTTGACAACAATCTGCACAAAATTCTACTCTCTATTACACTGGCCCAACCCCATTGCACTGACATAATTGAGAGAAAATTTGGCCCTACACGACTACTCATTTTATCCTTATAAGAGTACATTGTATCATACACCACATGCATTTTGACAGATAAAGTCAATTGGCAGATTGTACAGGTGTGGAAAAATTCAGCCCTTCTTTGATAAAGCAGCAATTTCACACAATGAGCCAAATTCTGTGCCGATTTAGACTCAGCCAGTGCAATGTTACAGTAGTCAGTGAAGTTGCATGGAGTGTAAACTACTGCACAATTTGGCACAGTGAATCAGTACATCAAATTATGGAAAAACATCCTAAGCAAAATTCTTATTACTTATTGAATCCTGACAGCGTGTTTAGCGCAATACAGTCTATAGAGAAAAATCACAGTCCCTGCTCCAGGCTGCTCAGGAGAGAAAGGATGGTCTCAAAATTAAGTCATCAGAGTGAGAATGAGGAAACCAATATTCCACTGTTCTGTTCCTACCGCCACCAGTCTTTCCATATGAACTTAGGCAGGTTGCTTTATCTCTCCTTGCCTCATTTGCTGTAAAATAGGGAAATAGTACTTACCTAGCTTCCATGGACATTGTGAGACTAAATCAATTCACTTTGAGTTCCTCAGATGGAAGATGCTATACAAGTTTAAAGAATTATTACAATCCATGTTAGACTATATCACACAAATGTGAAATACAGCGAATTGACAGAATGTAACCTGTTGCAGCACAGATACAGGATAAAAAATTTGTCAAGTTCTCTGGGTTCTGTTCCCAGCTCGTCCAAAGATGCTCTGGATGATCTTGGTCAAGTCACTTAACCTTGCTGTTCCCTCTGTAAACAGGGATAATTATACTTATTTATACCGATATCTATGGATGAAAAGTCCATATAAATATTATTTGCCTTTATTAAATAACCAGGAGAGTTATGCAATGTATGAGATCATTTCCAACAAGCACCCCCATCTTAATAATAATAAATAAACAAACACATTTCTGGAATTCTCTCTGGTCATTTCTTGTTATTATTATTCTTCAGTGTTATATTATGGGGATATTTTTAAAAATAGCCATTACAACATATAAGATCTTTAAGCACAAAAAGGAAAAGCTACTGTCTAAAATGTGTCCCTATGAATCACCACTAAATCCTGACCTTGTAAGTTTGGATAGTCAGGAATTTGATTAAATCCCTCCACAAAATTCCTGCGTTTCAGGTGCTCAAATACACTTGTTCTCCTTAGATTTTCCTTAACATTTTCACAATGATAAATTATTATTTATGATTATTACTGCAATGTCTCAGAGCATGAGGACCCCAAAAGATAGTCCCTGCCCCAAAGAACTTGCAATCTATGACATCATTCCCAGTAGTTTACTCCTTTCAGTAACGAAAAAATACAGAGCCTGAGTCAAAATCCATTGAAATCTGAATGGGAATCTTTCCATTGACATCAGTGGTCTTTGGATCAAGCTCACAGTGACTCCTGAGTTTTGCACACACCAAATAATAATATCAGTTTGGGCTTGGTATATCAGTCCCACACCATCTACAATTGTAAGCACAATAATTGTAAGTACTCCAAATGTATTCTAAACTGGAAATTAAGATAAAAGGCTAAGATGCCACAAACCCTTCTTCCATAAATACTCTCTTGGCTTTCCCCATCAGAAATCCATCCTGCATATGCTGGATCATTATTTAGTCCTTAGTGAAGAAGTGGATAGCTTACTTTGCAACTTCTGTGGCTTTCCCAGGAACACGACTCTGCCTCCTGAGGAACAATTCCTTGTTGAAAAGAGTGGTCACCCAAGCATGTCTGGCATAGTGAAGACTCAAGTTCTGGCTCCCCTTGAGGTATGTGCATCACAGTGGACCCTGTGTATTTGAGGTTGGTATTCTGGTGCTTTTCCATGCTGACCATTGGGCTCTTAATCCATCTCCGTACCTGCAAACACAAAAGAATTTATGAGCTCCCTTCAACTTCTTTAACCTTGTAATTTCTCAGGGGTATCCTGATGTGGCTATATAGTTATCAGCCATGGACAAGAATCTGATACCATGTAGGATGTCTGGATTTTCTCTCTCTCTCTCTCTCCTTCTATTATCTTGACTGATTCTTCTCTTTCCTCTCCTTATGACTCTCCATTACATTTGGGAGTCACTCTTTGTGCTGGCCTTTTAAACTCTGTCCCTGCCTCCCTCTGAACCATCCTCTCCTGCCTTCCTCCATTTGTCTTTAGCTCACTGTGTAGCACTTTGCAATACTGTGCATTGAGGACCCCATATAAAAGTAAATGATATTGTATTCTCAAGGTTCGATGTTTCTCATGTACACGCTATATTTACTCTACTTTGTTTCTGTTATTGCCTCCCACTTGACATGTGAATTATATTTGCAGTGTGTAATGGAATTCTTAACGTGGATTGATAAATTAGTTCTCCTTGTTGCAGAAATCAGGGATTTTTCTGGACTCCTTCCTAAATCGTTTTATATAACAAAACAAAAAAGAGTCAGCCACATGATCCATGTTCCTTTTGTTGCTTGATCAGCTTAAAATACAATTAAGAGAAATGTAAAAACCCCACTGTTCCCTTTTTATTCTGCTTTTGAAAGCTTGAAGGAAATTAACATAGGAAGGTGGAAGTTTATACCAGAATTATTTGATCAATAAGAGGTTGAAAAGCTGAGACTGTCAGAGCCGACTAGGAGATTCAACTACCTAGCTTCCATTGAAATTAATGGGAACTTTGTGACTGAATCCTTATTTGGCTTGGAAAATCTCGACCCAGATGTCTGCAAAGGGATGGCTCAAGAGCTGTAGCATGAGACTGTGCTGACTCACAACCCATTAATTGTAATCAGGTTCCACAGGCTGGAGGCCAGAATGGAACTTGGCCTCAACATAGAGATGGTTTGTAAGTAGAAGACCAGTCAAGTGCTGTAAATTAGAAAATAACACTTACATTAGTCAGGACCACCAGGCCTGTTGCTGCATTAGCAGTGAGAGTCTAAATCTCAGCAACTGGTGAATGGGTCACTTACAATAAACAAACATTATGAAACGCAGCTAGCCAGAACATCCTCTGGTAACTGGTAGGTGAGCAGTGAGCCCACAATTGCTCATGCTGTGCTAGTCTTCAGAAAATCATATGAACAACTCTCTTTCCTCTCTATGGAAACCAGACAAATACGATGTCATTCTTGGGGCACATGTGACACTTGTCATTGTGCTATTTACATTTGTTTCAGAGACACTAATATACGCAGAATGTTGTAATCTATACTTCCGATACTTTGGTATTTCATTCAGACCTCAGTTACCCTCTTGTCCTTTACAATCCCTTGAATTTTGGTATATGGCACACACAGTGTCTGCATGCCTTGGCAAAAAGGTATTAAAGTTTAAAAAAAGAGGTTAGAGTTGTGTGGAATCATTTTTCCATGATATTAAAGCCAAATGTGGTTTTGATTCAACTTTTTCTGTTTTTACAATTCTTAAATTCCTTAATAGGTTGAAAGACTGTTCTTCACCATTCTCCTTATTCATAGCTTTTCGGCTTCATGTTGCTCAGCTGGGGTTGTTGGTTTTTTGTTTCTTTTAAGAAATATATTTTGAAATTAATCTTTTGACGCTGGCAGATTTTCAACACATTTATTTTGCCAAACATAGTTGAATCTATGATTGTTACGCAAATCACTAAATATATTACTCTCCAAGTAAATTCATGGTTGTCTCGACCTAATTCCAGAACTTGACAAGAACAATTTTTTTCCAGGACAAAAAGTCATGCTTTATTTTCCAACTTAGTTTTATTATGGGAGGCAAGTATAATGTATTGAATTTCCTCTTGATGTGGTATATGTCACTTTATTTGACTTTTTCTTTTACTCTTCCAATCCTGCTTGGTGGTCAGTTAAATGTTTCTAGTGACACTCACCTGCAGTAGTTCTGTCTTTTTCCATTACACCTTTCAGCCTCTGTGTCATAAGTAGCTATGAACAAATCAGTGTACATGAAAGAAGAACCTTCCTAAAACTTCTCCCCAAACATGAAACAAATCTGAAGCAGAGATGGACCTGCTCCAGATCCAAACTTCAGAATTCAAGGGTTACGTTCCAGTGCTTTGGTTCAGTAAAATATAAAGAAATGGGCCAGCCAAGAAATTCAAATCTAGTTTGTATTTGAACTTACTGTAGGTTTGACTAGTATTCAATTTTGGGATTTTGGTCCGCATTCAAAATGGGCTGATTCACGATGGCTCAGCAAGCCTGTTTGTTTCTGGGCTTCATTTTGTGCTTCAGAATCTATGCTTTCATTTAAAAAGAAAACTCTCCAGCACATGTGTTTCTAAAAAAAGTGTTCAAAATATGAACATCCCCAATGCAGCAACGTCTGCCTGAGCCAGCAAGCAGCCTGGGACAACGGTTCCGAGAGCTATTCATGGCAATGAGATGCTCGCTCAGTAGCCCAGCCTTGGTAATTTAAATATCAGCTGTCAATGTTGTTACCTATTTCAATGGCTGGTTAAAGAGTGTAAGAAAGACAGGGGACACTTGCATTGTGAAGTGCTGCACAATCTGCTGTTAGTAGCACCTCATGATGGCCTCCTGAATAGGTGATTCTTGAATTATGGATGGAGCTTGGGAGAGTTTCACTACTCATTTTATTCCAGGCTGACTCCTGGTTTTGGTTCAGACTCATGTCCCATACTGAACCTAGTTTTTACTGTTTAAAAAAGTTACATTAGCTTTGTTTTATTAAATATCTAAATACAATTGTAAGTGCTCTTGGTAGTTACAGCCAGGACTGAAAATGGAAATACAGAAACATGACGCCAAAGACTGTGCTTATAGGAATTCTTGCCTGGTTAAGACAACCAGGAAGTAAGGGAAATCTAAGAGAACTTGAGTGCATGAAATGTCCACAGGTTTCAGAGTGGTAGCCGAGTTAGTCTGTATCAGCAGAAAGAACGAGGAGTACTTGTGGCACCTCAGAGCAGGGGTGGGCAAACTTTTTGGCCCGAGGGCCACATCGCAGGTGCGAAACAGTATGGAGGGCTGGGTAGGGAAGGTTGTGCCTCCCCGAACAGCCTGGGCCCCGCCCCCTATCCGCTTCCTCCCACTTCCCGCCCCCTGACTGCCTCCCTCAGAATCTGCAACCCATCCAACCCCCTCTGCTCCCCGTCCCCTGACTGCCCCGACCCCTATCCACACCCCCGCCTCCTGACAGCCCCCTGAGACCCCTGAACCATCCATCCCTCCCCCACTCCATGTCCCCTGAGCACTCCCTTCCAGAACCCCCATCCCTAACTACCCCTCAGACCCCCATCCCCTATCCAACCTCCCCTGCTCCCTGTCCTCCCTGACCCCCCGGGACCTCCGCCCCATCCAACAGCCCCCTGTGACCTCCTGCCCTCCCCCCTTCCCCTTACCATGCTGCTTAGAACAGCAGGACAGGCTTATTTGAAAGCCTGGGAGGTGGGCAAGTGCAAGCTATGCTGCCCGCATGGCAGTGCAACTATGGGGAAGGGGAGACAGTGGGGGAGGGACTGGGGACTAGCCTCCCCAGCTGGAAGCTCAGGGGCTGAGCAGGACGCTCCCGCGGGCCAGATCTGGCCCGCAGGCCATAGTTTGCCCACCCCCGCCTTAGAGACTAACACATTTATTTGAGCATAAGCTTTCGTGGGCTAAAGCCCACTTCATCAGATGCATGCAGTGGAAAATACAGTAGGAAGAATAGATAGATAGATAGATAGATAGATAGAACATGAAAAAATGGGGGTTGCCATACCAACTCTTAACGAGACCAATCGATTAAGGTGGGATATTATCAGCAGGACAAAAAAAAACTTTTGTAGTGATAATCAGGATGGCCCATTTTCAACAGTTGACAAGAGTAACAGAAGGGGGAAAATTAGCTTGGGGAAATAGTTTTTAGTTAGTGTAATGACTCATCCACACCACTAGCCGTCACCTTCAGCCCCCATGCTAATTTCCCCATGCTAATTTTCCCCCTACTGTTACTCTCACCTTCTTGTCAACTGTTGGAAATGGGCCATCCTGATTATCACTACAAAAGTTTTTTTTTCTCCTGCTGATAATAGCCCACCTTAATCGATTGGTCTCATTAAGAGTCGGTATAGGAACCCCCATTTTTTCAGGTTCTCTGTATATAGATATATCTTCCTATTGTATTTTCCACTGCATGCATCTGATGAAGTGGGCTTTAGCTCAACTAAATTTGTTAGTCTCTAAGGTGCCACAAGTACTCCTCGTTTTTTCTGCTGAAATTTCCACAGCATTCACATTTTGGTTTGAATGAATTTGCATTTTTTTTCATCAAAACCAATTCATATAGATTGGCAGACCTTAAGATTGGAAAAGGTCCCAGTTTTCCCAAATTGGATTAGACAAAGTCCAGATGGTTTGCCATTTTGGTTGAACTAGATTAAGCTTTTCCCCACTGCTCAGTTGGAGCCCTATTTAAGTCAACTAATTCAGGGACAAATTTGGCCTAAGGTTCCTGGAAGCTGATCTGAAGATTGAAGCTGTTCTTTTCATGGGATCTCAAAAAGACATGTAGATGTAGGAATTTTTATTGATTTGTGAGTGGCAGGATGTCAGGGTTAGAAAAAGAAATATACCCTTAGGGCTTGTCTACACATGAAAGTTAACCCAGAATGAAGTAGGGTATGAATTTAAATATAAAATTAACTATTCCCAATTAACTCCATGTGTGGACTCTTTTATTCCAGAATACAGGTGCCTTATTTTGGATTAATTTAAACCAAGTGAATTAAACTGATTCAGAGTAAGGCACACTTAATCAGGATTAAGAACATCCAAAAATGAAGTTAATCAGGGATAGATATTTTGGAATAGCTCCCCATGTAGACAAGCCCTTAGTCTATTTTTTAGATATCACAAACAATTCAGCATAACAT